GTAAAAACATATGTAAATCCAAATTAATGATTTTGCCTAAGTAGTACAGTGGAAATATTGTGCAAATACTTTTTAAAAGTAAGTATGAAAAAGCTAATAGCCACTTTTTCCAATTTAAAGTTTATTTGAAAACGAACTGAGTGTTTAGAGCACCATGGTGCCACGGAATTTTTTGCATATTGTCAAATTGCACAAGCTTCTTCTCACTGAATTTGCATTGAGGAAAGGAAAGAATCACCCACCTGAGCCTTTCCCCCCAGGCTGAAATTGAGCCCAGCCCCTGTGTGGGGCCAGTCCATCACCTCGGCTGCCCTCGGCTCAGGGCGAGGTGTGAGGCAGCTTGTCGGAACCCGGCCTGCTTCAGGGGCTCCGTGTGGTGGAAAAGCCTCTCCTCCAACCCTGCTTCCAAAGAAAACTCTGCAGCCTCTTGTTGTTCGGTCTCAAGGCAGTTTATTGTGAGCTGTCTAAAGGATTTTCTTCTCTGGCTGCTGTGGTTTGCTCAGCAGCTCAGGCAGAGGCACACACACACCCTGACATCCTCTCTATCTGCGTCTTCTTCTCTCCCCACCCAGGGCTGCTGCTGTCTTTTATATGGTACATTACGTGTTAAATGTTTACAGTTTTTCCCCAATACCTACTACCTATATTAAATGGTGCTTTTCTACTCTAAACCAATCTGTGAGTGCCAACATCACCAAGAACATGGAGGTGAGGAAGAAGAAAGAGGAGAAACAGGACTGGCCCACTTTCCTCCATCTTAAAACTGGCCCATATTCCTCCATCTTAAAACTTCTGACCACCATGTACAAAGTAAAACCCCCCCTGTACAGGTGTTAAAACCCCCTTGTACAATACTATAATATTCTTCCCTCTACTTTGTAACTACTTCTACTATAATATCTAAACTTTTGTGACTCCTTGTTCCACCTGCAAAGTTGGTAAATCATTCCATGGCTCAAACTCAAAATCTGTTTCCAGCTGCCTGCCAGGGTCTTAAATGCCTCTGACCAGGGCCTGGAACCTCCAAAAATGTCTGAGGGACATTTTGAGTTCCAACAGCAGCTGAGCCAAGGGCTGGTGTCCAGTAGCAGCAACAGCTCTGTCTCTGCAGCTCCTCACTGCCCCTGCTCTCTTTGTCCCTTCATCTGGGTCACCCCTGGCCACTGTCCCTCAGGGTGTCCCCACCTCAGCCTGGCTCCCTCAGTGGTGTCCTCACCCTGGCGTGGGTCAGCCACAGCCCCGGTGCCTAGCAGCACATCCCCTTCACCATGACATTTTCCCAGCTGTCTTTCCAGATGTTTCCAGTTGCTGATGGCTCTTTCCAAGCACTACAGCCTGCTGTGCCTCCACGTGGGCACCTTGCAGTGTCCCCAGCCACAGCTGGTGCTGGCTGTGAGGGCACAGGGCACTTTGTGGCCCTCTCCAGCACTGCAGCCCTCCTGCAGTGCTTGGTTAGTATCAATTCTGAATTTTTACAAAGAAAGCTAATTACTGTGCTAATTACAGCATTCATCTGAGGTAATTTTTTCCTCTGTAGGCTCTCTCCTCTCTAGAACCTCTTTTAGGATGGATGTGTGTGTGTTTGTTTAAATAAGTAGAAACAGAAATGGAGAATGTGTTTTTATGCTTATATGAGCTCAGCTGTTTAATTTCATTAGGATGTTGATGTGCAAATGTGAACTTGAAGATGTTCACTGCATTGAAAGAGGTACCACAGAAATGCAGGGGACCAAGGAGAGCATGGCAGGAGTGGCAAAGAGGGGGTAAAGAGCTGTGCTGTTGCCTTGGGGTTCTGCAGGAAGAGTTTGTAGGGAGTTTGTACTAAATCAAGGAATCATGGAATATGCTGAGTTAGAAGGCATCCATCAGCCTCATCAAGTCTGACTCCTGGCCCTGCACAGGACACCCCAAGAATCCCACCACATGCCTGAATGTGTTTGCCAAACATTCCTTGGACTCTGTCAGGCTTGATGCTGTGACCACTCCCCTGGGGAGCCTGTTCTACTCCCTCTGGGTGAAAAATCTTTTCCTGGTATGTAATCTAAACCTCCCTTGACTCAACTTACTTTTACTCCCTCACAAGGTAAAAAATTAACAATGTAAACAAACAAAAGATTTGTTTGCTTGAAAATAGACCACACTAGCAAGAGAGACCTGTGCTGTGGAGAAGGGAGTGGGCCTTTCAATGAGGAATGGCACAGGTAGCTGGGGCTGAACCATAAACTGCTTTCAAAATATGCTGTGTGAAAGACATAGTGAAGGGACAGAGCAAAGCCAGTCACTGTGATTTATGTTATCTGCAGAAATTGCTTCCAAGGTATTGCTTTGACCAAGTGCCAGCAGGGCAAATGAAATTTGTCAAGAATCGAGATGTTCCAGTGATCAAAACATGAGACAACAAAGCCTACATAAGAGGCTGCTTGGTGTGAAAGCCCTGAAAATCCCATATAGCTTTTATCTGTAGACAAATGTTTGAGTGAGATTGTATCTTACTCTTTGTAATTTAGGCATAGCCTGCTGATGTGACAGCAGTTTCATTTGCAGGTAGGATACACATATGTCAGTCCAAGAAATCCCCTCTGTAGGAGCACATCCCCTCTGTCTCCAGAGCTGTCCAGCTGTGCAGTGTGTGCAAAAATGGACCAGCTGTGCCCAGAGGGTGGAGACCAAACCTTCACTCAGCTGAGCTGGCTCAGACTGGCTGCCCTGAAAGGCCACTCCAAACTGGTGCTCTGTGAGGGCTCCTGGGCATCTGGAAGTCTCAGACAAATGGCCAAGTAGCCCCTCTCTCCCCAGCCCAAAATATGAGGTGCAATAAGAGCTTTATTAGTGTGGGAAATCTGGACAAACTGTCTGTACTTACTAGATGAAGCAAAATTTTGAACTTGAACAACCGTGACTGTCAGGATGGCTTTATTATCCACAGTGATTAACAGAATGAATACTTGCATGTATTTCTGTATACATGTAGATAGATATAACTGTGTATATATATCAGAAAGCAGAATTCACCACAGGTCTTTCCAGAGAATGAACATAGAAGGATAATGTTAAAGATCATTTTAGCTTTCATGGGTATGTTGTTGCAATATCCATCTGAAATTGATGGACTAGATGATTGAATTGCAAAAAAAATTATTGAAATACAAGAGCGATTTTGTGCTGCCTATGCTAAAATTTAAGGTCAGTTCACTGGTGCATGAACAGAGATATCTGCAACAACAAAAGAAAAGGCATTTTTTTCCAATTCACTTTGAAGCATAACTCCAAGTCAAGCATTAAATTAACAACATTATCATAAAACGAGTGCTAATTTTGTCAAATGCAGAAATTTTAAAAATGCTTTTATACAAACTCTACACTGAATTAGCAAAATATTAACTGAGCCAAGAATGTTAAATTAACTTTACTGCTTTAGACACACCCTTTTAGCAAAATTGATTAGAATAAAAGCATTTTTAAATTCAAAGCACAGTAGTATAGCTCCCAGTATTAATATGTAGAAATTTCCAATATAAATAGTCTCTTTTTTTTTTATTCCTACAGAATAGACCATGGATAAATTTACTTTTTAGCCTGCCTGAATAACCAGGTTCTGTAGAGTTGATGTGTGAGCTGGCTGACAAAGAGAGGCAGCCAAAATTCACCTCCATATGAAATCTCCAAGCAGTGGCCTGTGCTTGTCTGCCATTTGTTTGGCACAGTAAACTATGGAAACACCAATTCCTTTGCTTCCTTTTCTGGATTGGCTCCTTAGACTGGGCAGAATTTGATATGTGAATATGCTTTAATATAAAGTAAAATCTTTATCTGTGTATTGTTGCACAACAAAATGGAAATTTAATTTATTTCTGTGAATCTTGTCCCAGGCATCTTTAATGTGTCAAAGAAGAAATATGGAAAATGGTAAGGAAGATGTATACTACTTGTGTAGGTGTGCTAAAACCATATATATATCATTTTCAGAATATGAATAGTATCTTATTATAGAACGCAGGCCAGCGGCTCTCTAAATAATTATATGGTTTCTCTTAGTCCACATTTTAGCCCGCTTACATTTTTATGTCTATTGTGCAAAGAAAAAATAAGAGGGACAAAATAATGTGAAGTAGTAAGACAGATAACTATAACTATATAAATAAAATAATAAATATCAGTGTAATTACATATTTAAATGACAGGAGTAACCTGGGGTTTTTGAAGAGGAGCTCAGAAAGGAAGGTAATTCATTTTTACATCCCTCCCCTTAGCAAAACACAGGCTATTCCCAGCTGTTGTGCAGGTATCAGCTCTCCCAGCTACTGCTGTCATTACTGTCACCTGCAAAGATGTCACATGCCAGGCTATGGAGGAATGGGGCATGGAACACTGGGAAATGTGAGAAAACACCATAATGCAAGAACTTTTGAAAAGCTTTTGAAGGCTTTCACTGAGGTAAATTAACAAGACATCTATACTGGGCATTGCTGGTGAAGTCAGCAGTTGTTAAACAGATGAGGAAGTTATTTCACTAAATATGGAATTTCAAATGTCACAAGAAATGCAGGACTAAGAACAAATTACTGATGGAGTAGTGAGGAAGTGGAGGAAGGGTGAATTTCTTTATTTTTTGCACTTTAAAGATTTGTCACAGTTAAAAGAAAGGCATCACCAATATCACTGTACAGCACCCTATGAAAAGGGCAAAGAAATCAAATGTATGCTCGGAAGCAGAAGTTAGGTGTTGTACTAGAAAGTTACAGCTGTAGTAAGGATCTTATCAAGTGGGTATGCAAGTTTAAGTAGCAAACACTGCTTGAATGCTTTCACATGTTACATCAGAAGTCCAGTTTTTGTGGACTGAGGCAGATGCTCTTTTGGGAATTTTATTAGGAACTGAAATAATTCTATCCAGTCAATTTTTCCATGTCTTTGAATTTGAGATTTTTAACAATTATCAGAAAGCGTATCCAATTAGCAAAGAGATAAAATTTAAAACAGATCATTAAAATACACCCTTGCAAGAATTCAAACCTTAAGAAACTTCTACACTTTTTATATAAAGATTTTTCGTACAGTGCTTTCATTTATATCTGTACAGTAGATGCATTTCCAAGTTATGCTTGTTATCGTAGAACATCATTACATAATATATTCCTTTTCACATGCTGGCACCATCAAGCTACTTCTGCCTTGCATGCTACCTTGCTTAACATATTTTTGGTGGTAATAATCTCAAGGTGAATGAGATGCCACAACTGGAAATAATTTGTCTGGGTTTCAGAAGGATCAACATCAATGTTTTCTGTGTGATTGTGTTCTCTATGTGAGAATGGAAACTTTAAATTGCCCTTTTCTGAGGCAGGTTGGTTCTATGAAAGGGGGCTGTGAAGGAACTTGAAGCACGTGCTCTGTGAAAGCATCAGTGTCCTTTATCCTGCACAACTGTGGAACACTGAAGGCTTGGTGGGAAACTGCTGGGAATCTCTCAGGTTCTGGTGCAGCTCCAGTCTCTGTGAATAGCCTGATGGCATCAGTTACTCAAAATAGTAGTTACATCTTATAGAAATCTAGTGGACAGAAATTACAACTATTTAGATGCAAGGCTTGATAGAGTAGGAAGTTGTTTCATTTATTTGCTGGTCGTTATAGACCTTAAAAAAATAAAGTAGTGTTGCTAAAAATTTAGGAAACCTTGAGTTTATTACATACAAGTGTTTGGGCCTTTAGCATTTTATTGCACGTTGGCCAGTTGCTGACACTGTGCCTGGTATATTATAAAGATAAATACTTATGCTCTTGTAGTTTCCAATGACAGGTACAGAGATAAAACTAAGAACAGGCTTAACTGGAAAGTATCTCAATTGAAGAACATATTGAGAAAAACTTGTGTATGACCAGAAAAAAAGCTTGGGAGTAGGGGCTGGTGTACCAGAGTGTCACATATTTTCATTATTTTATTTTTTAAAATAGAATGGAGTATGGTCTTGACTTTAGACTATAATAAGAGATGCTCTGTAGATTTGGCATTATTATTTTGCAATGACTCTCAGGAGATAGATTAGAAAGTGGTCTGAAGAGAGAAAGTATAGGGGAAAGTACATAATTTATCAGATCAATAAACTGTTATGAGGCTGAGATGCACATGGGACAGTCTCAGTGACTCTGAACTGTTCTAGAAGTCTTTGCCTTGTACTTTGTATTGCCCATGAAGCAATAGAAAAGTCCATACAGTCTTACACATTGAAATAACATTGATGGCAATAAAACAATTAGGAAACATGCAAATCTGCTGCAGAAATGCTGTGTTTATATAATTAAAGTATTTTTTGCTTGTTTCTATATGACCAGTTCTATTCTGCTGCTGATATAAATCATTGCTGTATATCCAGCAACAGCAAGTTACTCTGGGTTTATATTCCCTTATAGCTGAGGACTGAGTCTGGCACAGTGCCTGCATGCAGTTCAAATGAAATACTCTTCCCTGTGCAGGAGTAATTATGTGGTGCTGAAGGTGGTGAGCAGTGCTCTGCTGGAATGAATGGTGACGACAGGTTGTCCAAAGTGGGTCGGCTTGCAGGGGTCTGTGGTGTAAGGAGGAGTGGTGTTAATTTGAAGGGTGTGGAGCAAATTTGGAGCTACAGGAAGAGAGAGACAGTGAGAATTCACAGTGACGGACCCCTGCCTAAGCAGCTTTTTGTTACGAGTCAGTCATTGGAGGGCTTTCTTTATTCCACTGAGGTGGAGTAAGAAGGGAGTAAATGCTTATTATTAATCTAATGAAATATTTTCCCAGACTGCTTATTTGTTGTTTGCTGTGGATGTTCTGATTCACCTAATCCTTTATGAAAGGATGAAACCACCTAAAGCCTAGATGGAAAGTCCTTACAGTTTGATTTGTGAACTTATAAAGTTATCTACTTCTAAAGGAGATGAAATGAGCAGGAGAAGGAATTCAGTTAAGGCTCTATCTAGAAAACTATTTGTTGGGGTTATTGCTTTATTAATTTGACCTGTGTTTAAAGTTTTAAAAGATTGAAACAAGTTCAAATTTCAAATTTCAATCAATCATCCATTACAAGTTTTACTGACTGCAAATGAGTTTTCATTTTTTTTAATGCTTAAGATGCTTCTGAATGTAGGAATAAGCTATTTAGCTTACTCAAACCTTGTGAGAAAAGCAGATAATTCCTTCAAGATCTGTTGCACATTCATGACTTTGTGTATGATAAACCTCTCTGCCTGACTGGAATTTTGAAAATTGTCAGTCATTTATAGGATTGATTCAATTTACAGCAATTTACAGTTGTGGGTTTTTTTGTTTGTTTGTTTTTTGGGTTTTTTTTTTGTTTGTTTTGTTTTGTTTTTTGTTTTGTTTTGGTTTTTTTGGGGGGGTAGTTGTTTTAGTATTAACCTTCTAAAATGTTAGGCATTGCCACAAATATTTTTCAGGACTTTCTTATATATAGAAAAGAATTGAGGTCCGTTTGTGATGTATCAAACATGAGCTCTTAATATTATCCAGACTTCAATTTAAGGCATATTTTTGCCAGCTATTGGTATATAGTACCCTTAAGTCCACCTGAGTTTTGGCATCTGTTCAATGCTATTTTAGAAGTACAGATGTCTGAAAAAATTAAGACTCATGTAAAAGGAAAAGAAATACCACAGCCAGTTTTCAAAAATGAACAAAATCCTTTTGTTCTTGCTTTCTGTGCATGTTTCATTCACTGTAGTTCTAAGTCATTAAATTGACTTGTATCTTCCAAGCTTTTAATTAAATTTTTCATCATACTTTGTATTTCCCTCTGTAGTATAATGAAGAACTCCACTATGTAGAGCCGTGTCTGAATGGAACATTAGTTCAAGCAGACAGAGCCAACAAAGAGGTAAGAAATGAAAGTAACAAAACAGTGGAGAGCTGGGATACAGTGGGTGACAATGTGCTCTAATAATCTTTTCCTAGTACAATGAATTCCATTATTAAAATTTATTAATTATTCTACTCATGACATTTCAAAGAGTTTTATGTGACTCCACAGAAAGAAAGAAATAATCTCCTAGTCAATTTGGTTGAATAAACTTAATGGAAAATTGCAGGAGTCATTGAAAATATACTGTTAATAAAGTTTGGTAATTATTCAAAGTAAAATATTTCAAACACTTTAAATTGAACTATCATTCTGTTAACAAAAATTACTGAGGAAGAGATTGCATTCTTAACTCAAAGTAGCACTAAAGCAAAATCTCCAAACAAATGAAATACTATAAGAACAAAAGAATTTAACATTCCAAATAAGTCTGTCAGTGTAATAATGTACTCATTCAGGAATGTTCTGTGAAACTTAGTTTCATCATGCTAAAATTTTTTAGGGAAAAAAACCCTTTATGGTGACTCTTCAAATTTTATTTGAAGAGAGATTGCAGTATGAATCTGTAGCTTGAAGTGTAGTTTATTGCCTGACAGTTTTCTTTGCAGGCACACTTCAGGAGTTGAAGTAAAATTGTTTATGCCATGTGAAATTATGAAATATGATGATCTAAAAGTCCTGTGGTTCTTGTAGAGGGAAAGGCCTGCTAAAATGAGCCATGTCTGTTCTTATACACCTTCTTCCTTGCTAAGGCTTCCTTAGAGTTTGTCCATCTGTCCTGAGTCTGGGCTATGGCTGGAGCAGGCATATTCTTTCTTTAAGTAGTTTCTATTTTCACTAAAAGAAAGTGAACAGAAAAGTTTCAGCTCAACACTGAATTCTGCTCAACACCCAGTGTGGTACCTGTGCTCACGTTGTCACTGATCAGGAAGTAGAGAACACAGCTCTGGGAACACCCTTTGGAGAGTGTCACTGATGGGTGTCTTTATGTTTACCAAGACAAACTTTGGTGTTGTTGTGCTGCTCTTTACTCCATTGTATTGCATGTTGTCTATATCCTACAGAAAGTATTCTTCCTGGGCTTCTTCTTTTATATATTTGATATTTACCACTGTAGGTATCTAAGTATCATTTGGTTGCTATGTGGGCATGAATTGTTTTTAATAATTTAATGTTGAATTCCCTCATTTGTGAATTGTGATGCAGCTTTCTAAATGAGCACTTTATTGAGGGTACGTCAAATGAGCCACATGAAATATGTGCAAGTTCTAGATACAGAGCTAAAGATTCAAATGTATTGCCCAGATGTCCTGTCTGGAATTAATCCTACAGGTAACCTTTCTGCCATTCTGCAACTGATCAAAATGCAGACTACCCCACACCCATATGTTACTTAATGTCAGATTTATTTTAATTTAATTGATCAAAAAAATTTATGCCACCCAGATGATAGTCAGATTTTAAGAACTGAGCTCAATTTTTCAAAATTACTAGTTAAATTTAATATTTTGTTTTTCAGAGTAAATGTTGATATAATTTCTAGCTAAGAAAATTATTTATTTATTTATTTACAGAATAACTTTGTCCTTTGTCTATAAACTGAATAATATATGCAAGGTTTGGGGAAATAATTAAATATGACCTTTTTCTAGTTGGTTATATTAGTGAGGTAGTTTGAGTTCTTTCCTTGAAAGACCAGAACTAAAAAAAAAAACTGAGATAGGTAGCATGTAATAGTTTGGTGCATTTGTATATACCTTGACTTTGCCAATCTTCATTTCTTTCTTATATGTGAGCTTATATGTTCTTAGATCATTTTTCTAGACACTGTAATGAAGTTAAAAATGTATTTGCCTAAACACTAGAAGGCACAAAAGTTCCATTGTCCCCAGTATAGCTCAGAGTACAAAGTAGAGATTGTCCAAGGAGGTGGACAGCCACTTAATCCTACATGAGTAATTTGGTTATCATGCTCCTGAACCCAGTTAAAACCAGCGTTCTGAAATATCTGATACTGTTTTAAGATGTGATACTGTGTGATTTGACTGTACTGACACAGCAAATTTACCTGGGGGCCTCATCAAAAACTCACTGAATTAACTGGAGAAGTTTCTCTTGGATTCATAGCTCTTTGGTCAGGCCCATAGAAAAAAGATGTCCTCAAGTGTTTCATGTGCACATTCCAAAACTGGTCCAGAGCTAGCAGAGTATTTAGCTGTGTTTTGGAATTCAAAAGTATTCAACTCTTTGGGTTATAACTTTTATTTCTGTGAGTCTCACAGATACACCAGAATACTCCTATAGCTTTGTTGGTTTTCTTGGGTTTTTTTTTTTTGTTTGTTTTTTTTTTTTTTTTTTTTTTGTTTGTTTTTATTTTTTTCTGTAATTGCCATTGGTCCATTGCAATATCAAAGCAAAAGTAAATACAATTACACTTTCTCAACCACTCTTACAAGGTAAATACTCCTATGCAAGTTCACTGGTAATAATAATAACAATGCTTTCTTTTATTTTGTTTATTAAATGTTAAAAAGCCAAGAAAAATATCAAGAAAAACACTGCGTTTTGTAGCTTTTCCAAGCAGTCATTATCAGCATGTGACCATATTTCTGTTCTGGCAAAGTAGAGCAGAAGATTGACAGGCAACGCTTTGACATAATCTATTGCTTCAGTTTACGTATGTCTACATCTGCCTGATTTATTTTTTAAATTCCAACCCAGGTCTGAAAATGTAGCTATATGTTTGGTTCAGAACTTTCTATCCTTCATTTTTATGTCAAATGATTTCAATTGAATGGGTGCAAGGATGATCACATCTGTTAGTATAAGCTTTTCTAGCACCAAAAGAAATAAAAGTATTTAAAAAAAAGTTAGAATATTTTTTCTTTAGCTGGCAAATATCAATTCTCAAATACTAGCTTTAAATGGAAACAATTAAAATTTGCGGAAATGGTATTTCATATTGCTATAGTTTTCTTTTATGTATGTAGGAGATGTATGATGCTGATGATTGCAGGGACTGAATTTTTAACAGCTCACTCTACCACTCTTTTATGTTGCTATTCATAGTCCTGACCTTTCTTAAGACACATATCACTTAATGCAGCACTGTGGCTGGAGTTGTGCATGGAACCAAATATTTTTACCAATCTGTTAGTTTATGCTGAATAAACTTTGGCAGTATATTTCTCCCCGTCTCTTTTTTTTTTTAACCATAACACAGGAGATAAAAAAATTCCCATTAAATGACCCTTAAGGAAAAAAATACCACATGACACACACGGATGCACACCCCAGCAGAGATAAGAAATTACTCTGAGAAGTTTGGAGCATTTAATCTCACGAGGAAGGCAGCTGTCGCAATAACTCCAAATAAAAATTGCTCTCACAGGATCAGTTCCCCAGTCTATACTTGTCTTGAAATTATTTATTGAAGAACTACTTTGCTGTCTTTCTGCAAGGTTCAGTTGTTTTCAGATGGAATCTTTCTACACTGAGGACGTCACTTAAATGTGTTGAATGGCGTTCTTTGGATCGTGTTTAATCTCTCAACTTTAACAAAACTAAGAAAGAAACAGAATCTAGGATAGCCGTCCTTATCACTTGCACTTCATTTGTAGAGAGCTGAAGGGAAAACCAGGCTTCTTAGCAGGATAAATTAAATTATACTGACTTGGGGCAGCCGGGCCAGGGCTGGATGTGGGGAGAGACCAAGTCCTCCTTTTTAGGGAGAACTGAATGTGGTGTTTGCTCCTGCTGAGAGAGCCCTGTGGTGCCAGTACAGCCTGAGCCTTCCCCAGGCACAGCCCTGCCTCTCCAAGCTCCAGAAGTGGATCCTGGCTTTGGCACCTGCAGCAGCCCCAGGCAGCTGGGCTGCAGCCAGAGCCTCTTCTGCTCCCATCCCCAGCCTGTGGAGGTAAAACGAGACCTGGGAGCATCTTCAGGGAATGGAAGGATTTGTGTGCAGGCTGCAGGAAACAGGTTCAGCCTCAGGGCTTAGAGCGGCCTGGGAAATGAGTGCTTCTTAGTGGCGTTGGTGCTGAATAATCAGTGATTAGGGGTAGCAAATAAACATGCTCCTTCACATTCAGGGATGAGTTGCAGGAAGTCTTATCCATAATGTTCAGGGAATGTAACAGGCTGCCACAGAGCCAAACTTTCAGAAAATACAGTTAGA